AGCATCTTTATTACAATTCCGTCTGTCCTGCCACTTTGTTTCTGTTCAATTTCACTTAAAGCAGCTTCCACTTTGGTTTTTAGTATTTCTGGCCCATTGATATTTCTATGTATTGCCAGTTGTTCTTTTACATTGTCAAAGAGATCAATATAATCTTTTCAGCACTAAAGATTTTTTTCTTTCTCTAATATGAGTATTCTGTTCTTGGATTTTATGCAGCCTGTTGATGAGCATATCTTCTGTCTTGTTAGTTTCCTTAATTTTTTATGCATATCTGCTTTATTTTTTATACTAATTCTCTCTATTTCTGCACATTTTTCCTTAAGCCATTTTTCTTTAGCTGCCTACATTTATTCCTTATTTCATTGTGTAATTTTCTGTATTCTGTTCCATGTCTTGGCATTGTTTTCTGTTTCCTTTGCATCATTTCAAGAATCTTATCTGGGATCCATTCGTTTTTTTTCTTCATCCATTCTCCTTTGGAAGAAAACTTAATTTTCATGAATTTCTTGGCACAGTTTTGACATTTGACATATTTGCTTTTATTGTGATGAATTTGGCTAGATTTCTTAACAGGTCCCAATTAATGAAGTAATCTACACTTTTTGTCTTTCTTGATTTCCTCAATTTGGTTAAATATTGTTTTTACTATAACTTGCTTTAGTTTACATTCAGCTTGATGAAACAAGTTCTTTAAGCCTTTTCCTATGCCTATAGTTCACAACTTATATTTTCAACAGCCCTCTTTATCATTCAATGATCTCTGCAAAACTCCTTTGATACCTCCAGTATGGATATTCCCTCACTCAATAGCTTTACTGTTTTCAGTTTTTCAGCATTTGTTAGATCCTTTCCATTACCCATGTTTCAACATATATTATGGAAAAAAGAAAAAATATTTTTATTAGATTTCAAAGGCCTTAAACTAAGATTAGTTTAATCTGCATAATAACTTCAGACTGCAGTTTTTATAACAAATCCAATAACTTCAATAAATCTTGAAACTACCTAAATATTTAACTCAATCTTTGTTTTAACATCTAAATTAATCATTTAAAATTTGACAAAAACTTTTCAAAGCAGATTCAAGCTATTGAGGTTTAGATGACTTGCATAATAACTTCAGATGGTCTGTATATAGAAAAAGAGAAATACATTATATATATATATATATATATATATATATATATATATATATATATATATATATATATATATATATTTATGTAAGACTGAGTATAGGAGAATTGAAAAAAGACAAAAGATGAATGGGATTTAAGAACATAGAAATTTAGTGATTGACATTGCCTTTAAATTTTTGAAAATTGTAGTTATCAGGGAAGCAAGTAAACAGAAGGGAGGGAAGTGCGAGAAAAGAAACTGTTGAATTTCTTTCTTTTTTTTTGCATTATCATCATTCTATTATCATTTTATTACTTTCAATTTTTTATTCTATGTAAATTTTGCTAATTTTTTTCTTACATTTTTCTAATTTTTAGTTCTTTTTTTCTTTATTTCTTTCTTTCAATTTTCTTTTATTTCTGGTTTTTCTTTTTCATTCCATTTTGTTCTAATTTTCATTCCATTTTAATTTCTTCCTGACAGTTTTCTTTATAACTTTTCCCCTTTTCTTTACATTGATTTTTTTCAGCTTTGCTTTCTTCATTTCGCACTTTTCTTTTCCCTTCTTTTCATGACAGCATCTCATTATGCTTATTACTTTCTTTTGTCTTCTATTTTCACTAAACATCTCACCTGATTTTTACATTTCACTATTTTTGCTGTTTCATTTATTCATTATTCTTTTTCTTTCCAATTCTCATTCATTAATCTTTTTATTCTTTCTTTCTATCTTCTTATGCTTGGTCATTTATTTTATCTTTCTCCACTTCCATTCTTTTTGATTCTTATCTGTTGTTACTTATTTAATAAATGATATATGCATCAACATTTTTTATATTTTCTTGATGTTTTACAATATCTTTCATTTTTTTTTTTACTTTCTAGTTTTCTTTCTATTCTTGCTATTTAAAAAATAGTTCTTCTCTCCTCTTTCATTTCCCTCTTCCTTCATTCGCTCTTCTTAAACATTTAGATATTTTTCTTTCTCCTCTCTTTTTTTTTTTTGCTGTTTTATTCACTTTCATTCCTTTATTTTTTCTTCATTATCCAAGCAGATCTTGCTTTCACCCACCACCATTTGATGAATTTTTTTCTCCATTTTATGTCCTTCATTTTTTAAATTCCCTTCTTTATCTTCCTTCTTTCAAACACATTTAATTCTTTCAGAGGAAGCGCAGCAAATCTTATTATCAAGAATGATATTATTAGTAGCAATATTGTTATTATTATTATTATTTCCATGTCAATAATAGACTCATCGTGAGTAAGAACATAAGTAGGAAGCCAATCTATTGATCTCTCTTATGCTCTTTATATATATATATATATATATATATATATAATTTTCCCATCATATATGTTTCCTTTTTTATTTTTGTTTTCCTTTACTTGGCATCATACCTTATGTACAGCATTGTCACTCAACAAACTCACAAAATGTAATACAGTAAACTTTTGATTCACTGGGGAAAAGGTGTCTTTTTCTCTGATTTTTTTTGTTTCTTTTATATTTTCCTTTTTTTATCATCATTCTGGCTTCTCGTGCTTTTTCTCCCAATTTTTTTGAGGGTATGGGACCATCTTGGCTTCTGATGTTAGTGTTTTGTATAATTTTCTTTTAGAGATAGTCAGACAACTTGACAAATGACACAGTATGGTGCAGAGTACATAACACATACACGCATGCATAAATAAGTACATGCATATATATTTATATGTTTATGTATGCAAATGTACATATAAATAATTATATGTGTATATTTGTGTGAGTGAGAATGTGTGAATATCATGATATATAAGTATATATGTTTCTATATACATATGTGTATATATATATATATTTATATGTACATATGTATAATTTAATATGTATATATTTAATTTACATATATGCATATATATACATGTTATAGTGTCTCAACAGGTGTAGTGCATATCTATCTATCTATCTATCTATCTTGGCCTCTTTATCTGTTTACCTATCTATCTGTGTGTGTGTGTGTGTGCGCGCGTGTGTGTCTCTGTGTGTGAGGTAATGAAACGTTCTCAGACGAACCAAGAAGCCTTCCCTAAAAATCTCATGTTTGATCATTAGATCAGATTTTGGGAAGCACCCCCTTGTATCTCTCTCTCTATTTGTCTGTCTGCCAATCTCTCTCTATATCCATATATATATATATATATATACATGCTTATTTCGTTAGACATATTTTATATATGCACTTACACCTTTTTTAGATATTTGTTTTTGGTGTATATATATATATATATTTACATAATGCTATACAAATGCATAATGCATGCCCCCTCTCTCTCTCTCTCTCTCTCTCTCTATATATATATATATATATATATATATATATATATATATATGCAGTTATATATTTAAAAAGTTATTGAAGGCTGAGGAAAAGTTTGCTGATATTTACTGACCTTCCATCATTTACACTACTATTTATTTCTCTTGCAATGAAAGATCTTGCAATAAGAGAAAAAAACTCTATCTTAAAAATCTTCTCCCTCCCTTGACCTGCCATTCTCTGTTTGAAGCTGTTCAGACCTTCAAGGCTTTACCATAATTTCAACATCATCATCATCATCATCATCATCATCATCATCATCATCATTTTCTAATTTTCTCTTTTTCTTTCCTTTCTTGTTCTTCTCAAGTAAGTTTAAAGGAATAATCTTTTAAAGTCTGCATTATTATGTTTTGTGATGTGCATTTCGAGGTGTACTGGTCAAATAATATGAAATAAAAAAAAGGAAAATGGGTAGCAAGAAAATGTATCATCAAAGTCTTTGCACAAGTGGACAAACAGCCAATTCTCCCTTTAAGGAAGAAAGAAATAACAAAAAAAAAATCCTTAAAAAAGAAAAAAAATCTATTGCTAATATACATTTTGGAATTACCATGTTTGTTTGTAGAGACTTACCAAATATATATCTTATCTTTTTATTATATTCCCAGGTTATTAGGAAAAGACATGAAAGGAAGGAACAGGAGGTCCTTTTTCTTGACATCACCGACATCAAAATGGTAATCACCGTCATCATTTGAAAAGATGTGTGAAATGGTCCAGAGATGCTTTTTTTGGTGGAGGGGAGGGGGGTATTATTTTATGCCCCTGCTTTTCTACCAATCTAGTGAAACAGATGAGGTATGTATAGTGAAGATGAAGAAAGCTGCATGAATTGACAATAAGTTGTATCCCTACCTACCGTGTTGATGACAACAAAGGCCGAAAAGGCATGTTGATTATGTGATATCAGATGAAAGGAAGTCTCTTTTTTGGCCTCTTCTTTATAGATATTGCTTCCATCATATATAGATGTATTTTTTGGCTTTCTTTATTTCAGATCTGATCAGCAAGGGGAAGAGAGGAGGGAGGGAGTTGATCAGGTTGTGGAGAGAAATCAAAAAAGAAAAAACTATCTTACAATTTCTACATTTTGTCATCTCTGTAAACTGTTAACTGTATTTTTATTATTGTCAGTTTGATATTTTTTTTAATTTTTATTTATTTATATTTACTTATATTTACTTATAACTAAATTATAAGTTGAATATAAAGCTTATTAAATAAATTTACAGGTATCTATAACAATTTGTCTTTTATATCTTGAATCACTTAGTGTGACAAGTTAATTATGTAAAAGGAAAAAACTTATTTCCTTAACATAGGCTTCTATAAATAAAAGCACAAAAGTCAAAAAAAGGATCAAAATGCATTATTAGTTACATGTGCTTTTGCTGTTTGTATTTGACATGAAAATTAAAGTCTCACTTGTAGATGGTTATTATACAGATGTTTTTATATATATATATATATAAGTAGTTTAAATACAATCTTCAGATTAAATTATTTATTTACACTTACAGCCACATCAGGTTGAAACACTGGTTCCCATAGGACCACTCAAGTTAAACAACATTGAGCCTGGCTAGTATCTAAATGGTTGACCACTTGGGAATGTGAGGTGTTGTAAGCTTGGATGAGTGGTTGGTGCAATGGATAATGGTTTGGAATTGTTAATCAGAGAGCAGAGTTCCAATTTCAGTTGAGTTTGTTATATTCACTTACACACAAATATCCTTGGAAAAATTATGAATCCACTTCTTCTTCCCCCCTCCACTATGGTTTAATTAGTAAAACTTGTATCACTAAATTATTAATATCTCTAAAAAACAAAAAATTCTTATAATCTAAAAATATTTTGTGTTTCTTTCAAATAACCTGCAACTGATTTTCTATTCATATGCATGCAATTTGCTGCCAGTAGAGATTTTTGATTATCTAATATTCTTTCTAAATATGTTCAGGTTACTGAGCAGATCTAACAGATCTTTATTGAATGATTTTGCATAATCCATAAAGCACAGGTACACATCTTTCTGCCTTTGTATTGCTCTTTCTGATAACATTCTGAACATAAATATCATGTTTCTTGTTCTGGTGTCTTTGACAAACCCGTATTGTTCTTGTCTTATCTCTGGTCTGATTCTGCTGCACACTATTCATTATAATTCCGATGATGGGTTTTACTATATGGATCATTGGGCTGATTGTTTGATGAAGTTGACATTCATTTGCACCTGATTTCTTAGGCAGTGCTATGAAAATAGATCTACTTAGGTCTTTCAGTATATCGTCACTTTTGAAGATTTCATTTATTATTTATGTAATCTTGTCTATGTTTAAATCATCTAAAGCTGCCAACATATTTATTACAATTCTGTCTGGCCCTGTCACTTTTTTCTGTTCAATTTAGCTAGTGCTGCTTCCACTTCAGTTTTTAATATTTCCCATTTGTCAATATTTCTGTGTATTGCTGTATTTTTCTTTCATGATAGAAAAGTTCTTCAATATATTTGTTCAATCTCTGATATATGTCTGTTTTCTCTTATATCATTATTCCACCCTTGGATTTTATGCATCCTGTTGATGAGCATGTCTTTTTCCTGTTAGTTCTCTTATGTATTTATATATATATATGCTTTATCTGTGATACTGATTATTTCTATTTCTGCACACTTTTCATTTTGCTTTTTTTTTATTGTTCTCTCTCCTTAATAGTGTTTTCTTTTTTGTATGCTTTCACACTAAGTAACTCCTTGTGTCTTAGTGGCTTTACTGTTCTTCTTGGGGTGAAATGATTAAAAAAAAGAAAAAGATATAAACAGACTGACATAGATAGATAGATAGATAGATAGATAGATAGATAGTGTTGTAGCATAACTATGAATGATAATGGCTATGTCCTCATTCACATAAATACAGTAGTAAATACTGTATGTTGGTCTGTAGTTGGATATTCATTGTGGAATTCACTTGACTCACTTCTAGCAGTTGACTACTTCTTCTAAATGCCACTGGCAAATCTTATATGTGTTGTTCATGTCCTAAGTATTATTGTTCATTACTAACCTTCGTTTGATTATTCTGTTCAGTAACCTTCCCTAGGTTACAACAGATAGATAGATAGATAGATAGATAGATTGATAGATATGAACAGACTGAGACAGATAGATAGATAGACAGACAGATAGATTTGAATAGACTAATATATAGAGATAAATAGATATGAACAGACTGAGATAGATAAATAGACTGAGATTGATAGATTATAGATAGATATGTATAAACTGAGACAGATAAATCAATAGAAAGATTGATATAAAAGGTGTAAAATTATAAAATATTTTGTAAAATTTCAGTTGTAAATATTTTTATGCTTGTATACATATTTTATTACTTTATATTTTTAGTGGATAGCCATATTTGAATAGTCATTCCATTTATTTTTTAAGCAGTATATTTATTTATTTTTGTCTACCGGCCTGAATACTTGAGAAATCTTATTAAAGAAATAGATGCTCCCTCCAGTGGAATTTGCTATGTACACTTTTAGATATATATCTGATCTCACACACACACTTTTTGAACATTTTCATCTCTATATATGGACACTTTTTCATATCTGGCTCTCCACCTCTGGCTAAACTTATTCATCTTTCTCTCTCACACATACTCTCTCTCACACACAATCTCTCAGTCTGTTCATATCTATCTATCTATCTATCTATCTATCTATCTATCTATCTATCTATCTATCTATCTATCTATCTATCTCAGTCTGTTCATATCTATCTATCTATCTCAGTCTGTTCATATATATCTCAGTCTATTCATATCTGTTTATCTATCTTTGTTCATATCTATCTATTTTAGTTGGTTCATATCTATCTATCTATCTATCTATCTATCTATCTATCTATCTATCTATCTATCTATCTATCTATCTATCATTTTGCTTTAATAAGATTTCTTGAAGTCAGACTGGAAATAAAATAAGTATATTGTTTAAAAAAATAAACAAAATGTCTATCCAAACATGGGTATCAACTAAAAATAAAGTTTAAATTGATCAAATTTCCCAGATTAATAAAAAAAAAGTCTGTTACTTCTTTAGAAAATTGCTCTGTATACATATGTTGTATGCATTATATACAAGGAGGTGCTGAAAAGTTTTCACCCTGACACATTTCTTAAAATTCATTAAAACCACTTGATCAGACATCAGAATTTATTTGGGCTGAGAACTTTTCAGCACCACTCATAGAATAAACTTTTGTTGTAGTGTTATTTTGCTCACTTCTTTATTATTCAAATATTATTATTTTTCTAACCATTTTTCCTTGACTGTATTATTATTATTATCATTATTATTATTGTTGTTGTTAAAGATTCATTCAATTTCAGTGTGATTACCTGATCCAATTCCAGTCTACCAGTCACCAAAAATTCCACTCTAGCATGCCCGTCGATCTTGGCTTTGACTCTCAATACACAGCAAGCTGTCCAAATGTACCCAACAGGACATGGCATAATTTAAACAACTGACAAGTGGTTTGTGATAAGAACTCTTTGACCTCTGCCCAGCAGAGCCAACATTTACCTGATGCTTGATATTTTAGATAACACGTTTTCTTTACGGAAATGTCTTTTCAATGACTTCTTTCCTGAGCAAAAATTAGACTAAAACAGACATTCCGTTACTTAATGGTCAGTGAGTGTTTGATATATTCACTAAAGCGTATGATTCACCTGGATGTGGTATTTCAGACCAACACGTTTGCTCCATAACAGGTAATTGTAGAACCAGTTTTGGGTGCAATCTCTTTTTGAATGGTAGCAATAACATCGTAAAACTCAACCTTCAAATTGTTGCTTCTTGAATGCAGTACATCCTTTTGTTTCAATAACTCTGGCACTTAGATGATTCACTTAAAACTCCTTGATATTTAGTAAGGGAAATCAGAGAATATGAAAACTGGGTGGCCCTCATTTCTGCCTGCTTGTTTTAAAAATCAGCATTTACATTCTTGGAATTTTACCTGGACTTGAAAACTGACCTCTGACACTGAGAGAAACTATACATTTATCTCATCAATGAGACACACTTATAATGTTTATTTATTAAACAGAGCTTAGTACAATATACCAAGCTTGTCTCATGTTGATTAATTTTAAATAAACAATAATTGATTGTTTACTTTTTCCACAAGAAATTAAGGTATAAATCTTAAATCTATAAGTGATGAGCTTTCATGAGTGGTGTTTTTAGCAATCAGGAAATGTGTGGGGGACAGGCATTTGGGTGTGCCTTATTTATTGTTTGTGTTGAAGTAAATCATGGCAAATCTCAAAGTGAAAGAGGAAAATATTTTTTTGTTTATTTTTGCTTCACCATGCCAATTTATACAACTTTCAGAATTTATTTTGTTTTTTTAAATATTGTTATACTTTAAATTAGAGACCTCCACAAAAAGGCAATACCTAAGGTTTAAAATTTAAAAAAATGAAAAATCTTTCTTGAAGTTTTAATTTTAAGCTAACATTTCAGTAAGCAAAATATTTTGCTGCATTTCAAAAAATAATTTAAATTGACTGAAAGGAGTTTTTTTTTTGTTAAAATATCTGATTAGAACCCTTTTTTAGTCATCTTTTATCACAAGGTAATTCCCTTCATTAAAAAAATCTTCCAAAAATAAAATATACTTTTTTGAAACTTCATTTATGGAATATTAGCTGATTTTAAGTATAATTAATCTGATTTGAAAAAAAATATTACTTGAAATTTAAAATATTGCAAAAATGGATTTTGTAATGGAGATTATGTGTTTCTAACCCAACATTAGCTGTTTTGGAGTGTTGACAGTCTGATGACAAATCTAATGTTATTCTTGGAGACTTTATCTGTAAAACATAACAAGAAATTGACACTAGCACCTTTTTTTTATATCATTTTTAAGTACTCAGTAATCTTAAAAGTTTAGGAAAATATTCTCTGTAATCTAATGTTTTATTGAATTTTAGAAATGTTGGCTTTAAATTTACTACAGGTATCACACTTAATTTCTGATAATGTCATGTATTGTTACCTGTACTTACAAAAAACAGCACATACAAAATAATTCAAATTTTTCAAAAAAATATTGGGGTTTGATAATTTGTATTAAGCTTTTCTATTTATGATTAGTAAATATAGTTTTCATTTAATAATAACATCATCTAAAAGGCAGAAATTAATACAGATTTAAAACAATAAATTTTTCTAATTAAAATTTTTAAAAAATGAAAACAATTCTTGTAAAAATTCATTATTCATTGAAAAAATTTTTTCTTAAGAAAATAGTGTCCTTAATATATCTTATTTAAACTGTGTCTAGAGATTATATGCAAAAGAGATATTGTCAAATATTTTATGTAAAATTCATAGATATGTGTTATCCAATGAAATAATTTGTATTATTATATATATCGAGTAAGCATGAAAGCAATTAAGTCCCAAGTTACAATTTCAGATTGATATTTAGTATTTTTTCAGTAATTATAGCAATTTGCAGTGTCAAGAGATTATTTACAAGAACTAGAATTTAGTATTAAGAACTAACAATGAATGGAAAGAACTATTAGGTTGGTGCAA